AAATTCACAATGGTAATTTTGTATGGCTCCAAACAGAGTGACTTAATTTAAAGTCAATTAACCAATGTTATTGACGTCGTTACACGGTAACACCAATCATGTTTCTTAATTCACTTTGAATTGAGTCAGTCTGTTTGGAACCTAAATCAAATTATTCAGCACACCAAATAGATAACTATGTTTACGTAAATATTCATATTCATTTATTGTTGTTCTTAGTTTAACTTCATCACCAATAGAAATTCTTTCGGAAGTGAACAATAAAATCGGGAGATAACATTAATGATTTACTATTTAATCACTAACAATTGCATTTTAAGTAGCCGAGTTGACTCGGCGAGTCTTGAAATCAACTCGCACTCGTCGCGGTGCGGGAAATCCTGCCTCATCTTGCTTCGTAGCGAGGCGGGGAAACTCGGCGAGTCTGAGATCTCTGGCCTATAGCTCTTTATTCACGGTTCTTTTACACTTTAGGACCCCAAGCATCGGATTGGTCACAGCACAAGCACGAAAGTGAGGGTGAGAAACTTGATTGTTTGGGGTCCTAAAGTGTAAAAGCTCCAAATAAGAATATAAAAAACATGTCATTCATTTATTTTGTATTCTCATTAAATTCTGTCTAATAAAGAAAAGAAAATCTATTTTCGTATATTGTACAATCTGTTATAGTGATATATGAGGAGTGTGTCGACATGACTATTTAATGAAGTAGTTTACAGCTATCTTTATTATGTTCTTTCAACGAGCAATTTGCATGACATTTTTTGTACTTATGTACCGAAATATTACGCAGCTTCGGATTTACGCTTCTAGTCGTAAGAGTAACAATCGTCGTTATCTTAAGATCATTTTGGATTAACGACGTTCTTTATCATATGATGTCGAGACTTCTATTAGTAATACTTAATTTAATATCAATTGTATTGAATTTCTAAAACTATAAAGAACTTAATCTAAAGTAAACTCTTCATAAGCCTTTTAATAAAACGTATGTTTCTATAATTTCTTTTTCTAACAAAAGTTTTAAATGCAAAAAAAAACAAATAAAATATATTCAGACGTCAGAAATTTATCAAATTCATCGATTTTAAGCTCAAAACTTTCATCATCATAAACAATTATAATCGTTTGATCGTCATGCATTTCAACAGGAAATCTTGTAATATGGTTTTCTGAAGAATTATTTGAACTTTTATTTTCATACACATGAAACAATTTGAAAAAAAAACTTTATTATTAAACGAAATTTGGAAATTCTATCAAACTCAATGTCTGTTTTTTTTTCTATTTGTTAGTACAGTTATGAAAAACAATGAGTTCAAACTTCTTCTACGTGTTCTCATGTTACGAAAATAATTTTCAAAAAAGTTGAAATGGCTAACAGATAATGTAAAACTATAATGTTCAACTAAAATATTTAGTAGATAAAGATTGCGATAGAAATCATTGACTGTCTTTCAGCAACACTGGTCTTATATAATTCTTCTGCAATAATGAAAAAATTTTCTGAGATATTCAAAATATTCCCAATTGACATTATGATGATTAGATAGAAAATAATTACAAATGAAATATTAGTGTAAGTAGATTTGAATACAAATTACTTCTATGACAAGTTATGAAATTTCCAATATCTTATTATTTTTTTTTTGAAGAATCAATTGCGTATGAAACTAAAATGTTTACTGTATTTATCTCAAACAAATAGCCTTCATCAACTGAAAGTACTAGCTCAAAAGATTAAAAATTTCATGATAAAGATCGTTTTTAAATTTTGATTTCCGTTGTCTTGTAGTTTTCATGTTTCATTGATAAATAATAAGAAATTCATTTGAGTATACGGTTTCTCATGATTCTCGAATATGACTAGATTATGTTTTACAAAACTTATAACTTGTTCTTTTCTTTTTTTTTTTTATCGATCAGAGAAAAAAAAATGACTATTCTAATAAGACATTAATTACTTTTACCTTGTATATAAGCACAAAAATCTGTTTTTCATTTTCTATTTGTTTTATTTGTTATTGTATGAGTGTCATGATTTAAGGCATAAAAACAAAGGACGATCAAAAATTTATCGCTTGTTACTGAGACAACGAAGATAACATTGTTTATTATAGTCTAAAAGATGGACAACCAATGAATTAACTGGAATTACACTATTAGCTAAGGCTCTCGTCACTTATTCTCAGAGGTGTTTAGGATCAAGTTCTTGTAATTCAAATTCCGAATTCTATTCATAGATTCAATATTTCAATTTTTCAAGGTCTAATTTCAGCCTAGAGAAACTTGGTACAGAATTTATTTCTATCACGTTTAAAACCATTCTTAAATATTCGTTTTTTTTTTTGTTTTTCATTTATTTAGTCCGCCACTGGTATTATTTTTGTCATCTCTTCCAAATCTATACTTTAATTGGTATGTTCTATAAAAGTAGTCTCTTGGAACCGTAGCACAGTTAACTGTAATCTATAGTTCCAGTTCGGACACCAGGTTTTTTTTCTCATGGATTCAGTCTCAGTTTCGATAAAACTTCAATGTATTATTTGAGTTAATATGAATTAGATATTTCATATAATCCTAAGAGAATGACACGACATTGAGCTATAGTGTATCGAGCAATGAAATAGATGAATGCATAAAAAGTTTAATCTTATGTGTAAAAATTGAAATTTGAATTTAGTTATGAAAAATTTTAATAATTAGTTAATCGAAGTTTCCAGTGTAAAAAAATCTTATCTGTGATGTACTTAAAATTTTTTGTACATATTTTGAAATCGAACCTGTAGACATTAAGCCTAGAATTAGTCAGAAAGACAATGAAAATTTAGACGGCTGATGCTTGAATTCAAGTTTTTTTCAATACGATGCGAAGCATATCATTTTTCTAGTCAGTGTGCATGTACATTCGGCTTGCATACTTTGTGTATTTTTCGCTGTAATAAAATCTGTATTTTGTATCGTAATGAATTGGAGGATGAAAATTCAGAAAAAAGTCGTTTAAATAGGATATAAAAATATCGCGATAGAAGCAACACTATTTTTCTCAATCTTTCAAAGAATGTTCCGTTTGCTTAGTAACGAAATAAAACATTGTGGGAATATGAAATCTTGACATTATTGAGATTTTTTTTAGTTTTATTTTAAATATACGTAAAGATAAATATATGTAAGAGCTTAAGGCGTAATGCTTCTAGAAGCTAGTGTATATTAGTGATATGTTTCGTCAAACATAGAAAACAAAACAGTAGTAGAAAATTTTAAAAACTTACGGACGGAATTCTAGAGTTTCTATTAGTTTTTTTTTTGCCATTGAAAAAGTTCTTAGAACAGAAGTTTTTTATAGTATGAAACTTGTAAATGCTATCAGCCATTGTCAGTGTTCCTGTCGAATAAGAAAAAAAGTAACAATAAAGATAAGAAACATTGCTGCCGTACTCATCACCTTTTATCTCCGTTTACGGAAACGAAAAATGTTTTTTTTTTTCTTTTTTATGGAAAGAGGAATCGAAAAAAGTCGTTCCAACAAAGTACTATGGTTTAGTCAACTATTGTAATCTCATTGGATCTATATATAGCACCGAATTCAAAGGACACCGTTGGATTTCATCGTAAATCTGTCACTTCTCAGTTTTCATTGTCAATATTATAGAAAGGTAGAGCTCAAAACTCTACACCTTTCTGTATATTTAGTTTAAGTTTTTCTTGATCAGAGAAAAATTTTTTGAAGACCACTTTGTCTGGGGGGTCTATGAGTCTTTCGTAAGTTTTCAATGTTTCGGATGATAACGGTAATGTTCATGATTTGTTTTCTATTTTAATCTCAATGCCAAAACTATATACATAGCTCTATGCAGTTTTTCACGCTCTACAAAGCTATATATTATTCATATTTCTTACGAGTTTTTTTCTCGAGTTATATAAGATTAAAATTAGATTAGATTCACTGAAAAGTACTGTTTCCGTGCATTTTGGATGATTTTTCATATTTTTATAAGATGTTTTTCAATTCGAAAGTGAAGTTAGACATAAATCACTTTATGATCAAAAACTACGTCGTCTCACGCTCTACAAATCTATATAGTTTCTAAAAAAAAATAATTTTGTCCTAAGACTGGTTTTCATTGGCACATTGTAAGATCATAACCATTTTGGGGATAATTTTCGACCATTTTCACAGTAAGTCTTAATCTAATTTAAAGTTCAGAGCAAAACAAATATCATATTCGGAATCAGCACAAAAAACTACGGTATACCATATACATTTTAACAAAAAAAATTTCCACGAAAAAGTCGATGTGGTTCCCCTCAGTAATTTTTTTCTCAGGCTTCGGCCGTGGTCCCCCGGGGTGCCTTTTTTATAGAAATTTTATTTTGTTGAAATGTATATGGTATACCATAGTTTTTTGTGCTGATTCCGAATATGATTTTTGTTTTGCTCTGAAATTTAAATTAGATTAAGACTTACTATGGAGATCGTCGAAAATTATCTCCAAAATGGTTATGATCTCACAATGTGCCAATGAAAACCAGTTTTAGGAGAAAATTATTTTTTTTAGAGACTACATAGATTTGTAGAGCGTGAAAAACTGCATAGAACTATGTTATTAGTTTTGGCATTGAGATTAAAATAGAAAACAAATTATGAACACTACCGTTATCATCCGAAACACTGAAAACTTACGAAAGATTCATAGACCCCAGACAAAGTGGTCTTCGAAAAGTTTTTCTCTGATCAAGAAAAACTAAAACTAAATATACAGAAAGGTGTAGAATTTCGAGCTCTACCTTTCTATAATATTGACAATAAAAACTGAGAGGTTGCAGATTTACGATGAAATCCCGCGGTGTCCTTTGATCACGAGATTTTATCTTTTTAGAAAAAAAACCATAATATCCGTTCGAACTAATTATTGTTATAAAAGAGTAAACATTGTTTTATTATTTCATATTATTTTTTTTCAACAACAAGCGTTACGAAATTTTGTTATTATGTTTCTTTATTCGATCATTGATGGTAATTCACATGGAAACTTCAGATAAGAAAGTTGTTTTAATATAGAAAATATCTCTAATTACAAAACAAATTACATCATTCGAATCTAATAAGAAAAAACATGAAAAAGATTACATTACAGAAATATCCAATAGAGAAATGTTTATTCTATTCTGCAAATTAAAACTTAGTTCAAATGCAAGTCATGCGGAAAAAATGATGGATTCCCTTTTCTCACAAGATAAAATTTCGTCATCAGAGTTAAGGTTTAGCATTCTAACTTTCAGTAATTAGTTCAATTTATAGTATACAATCAAATGAATCAAACATGAAGAGAACATTTAGTATGTTCGATAGTTATTTTGACACAAACAACACCTTTTCTCATAATTACTGATAAATGTTTAATGCTGTATTAATGCTAAATAAAACATTTTTGGTAGGCGAGTAAAAGAAAAATAGTGAAATTTAATGGTATGAGCAATATATTTATATTTTATTTTGCGTGTAAGGTTTAAATTATGCATTGAAAAGTAAAAGAAAAATATAAATCGAACTATGAAATATATTGTCGTCCGATGAAAATAACTAAGCAATATAATATTATGATTCATAAAATGTATGAATTTAGTAGAAAGAAAACGAACATCAAAAGTGCAAAATGACGATAATAAAAGAAATATTGAAAATGCTACTAACACAACTTTAGCACACACATCTATCAATACGGTATGAATAATAT